TGGCTGGTTTTTTTTTATAAATTTATTTTTATTACATAGACAACACAATAATAATAATAAAAAAAAACAAAAAAACAAAGAAAAAAAGAAAACAACCACACACAAAAAAACCCATCGTCACATAAAGCATGTCGTTTGGCTACAGATGTTTTAACATTTATCATTCTTATACATTTATTATTTCATTTAATAGGTTATAATATATTGTTTGAGTTGCTTTGTTTACCATCCCTTCCTCCTGTTGTAACACCACCTTATTTTCCCTTTCTTTTCTCCCTCCCTCCCTTTCTTCCTTCCTCCTCTCCTTTCCCTTCCTTCTTCCTGTACCAGACCGAGTGGCTATTGATGCTGCCTCCCAAGGTTAGTCCAGACATTCCACCTCTTAGCCTGGGGGGTGAAATTATACACCCCTCAGAGAGGGCCCGCAACTTGGGTGTCCTCCTGGACCCACAGCTGATGTTAGAGCACCATCTGTCGGCTGTGACCAGGGGGGCTTTCGCCCAGGTTCGCCTGGTGCACCAGTTGCGGCCCTACCTGGACCGGGAGGCACTTCAAATAGTCACTCATGCCCTCGTCACCTCAAGACTGGATTACTATAACGCGCTCTACATGGGGCTGCCCCTGAAGAGTGTTCAAAGACTACAGTTGGTCCAGAACGCAGCCGCACGAGCGATATGGGGTGTATCTAGATTGTTGAGCGATATGGGGTGTATCTAGATTCAGGACAATGGCTAGAGGCTGTAGGAGGGATGCTGGACCAGGGCGAAGACCAGCCAGTTGCAGCCAGGACCCGAGCCAAGAAAGAGGCCTGTGCCCTCACTGCCCCCCTTCTCCAGGTGGATCAGTTTCTAGTAGACCCCAATGATCCGGCCTGAATCTCCACGGCACCCCTGTTCCAACATGTCCCCTTCACTACGTCCAATCTGCTTAATTGGAAACTCCACTATGGGCCCTATAGCACCAAACCAAACGAAGTGGCCGATCTGGTTAAAACCATTGTAGACGCTCACAACCCTACCTGGTTGGATCTCTAGCAGTTGATGGCCACTCTGTTTAACCCTGAGGAAAGGGATTAGGATTGCGGTCTCCCACATTTTAAAACCCGATACCCCGGCCCAGACCACATTGGCAGACTTTATCGAGCAATGCTTCCCTTCAAGGAACCCCGGGTGGAGCCGTTATGATGCCCAACAGCTGACCCTCCTTCGTAATTACCAGCAGCTAGTTGTCAGGGCTATCCGTATGGGAGGAAAGCCAGCCACTAATATGTCCAAGCCCAGCCTGGTCACACGGGGCTACCGAAAGCCCTGAAGCTTTTTATGCCCAGCTAATTGAGGCTTACCAAATATACACTCCCATTGACCCCACCCTACCAGAAAATGCCCGGATGTTGGCCATGGCTTTTATCTCTCAGTCGGCTCCCGAGATTCGCCAGAAGCTGCAGAAGCTGGAAGGGGCGCTTGGGAAGCCCCTCAGTGAGCTAATGGAAGTTGTTAATAGGGACCTTTTGGAGGAAAGAAAGAAGGACCTTAAGATGCAAAAAAAGGCAGAACTCCTGGCGGTCGCCATCATGACCATGCCGGGAGGCGAAAGGGGAACTAGGGAGATAGACAGGGCCCCACCCTTGGGACGTAACCAATGCGACCTCTGTTACGAACATGGCCACTGGAAGGGTGAATGCCCCAATTGGGACTGTGCTCTGCCAGTGGAGGAGAGGGAGGAAGGCTGCCCCAGGATGCCGAGGGACCCCCCACCCCTGCCCAATAGGCGAGAATCCTGGAGGCGCCCCTTTAACGGAATGCGACACCGAGGTGGGAGGGGCCCCTCTCCTAGCACCCCGCTCATTGGGTTGGCAGAGGTTGAAGAGTGGAACTGAAGCCGACCGGGTTCGAACAGCCTCCCAGAACCTGTGGTCCAGATTAATGTAGGAGGCAAAGATATCCCCTTCCTTGTAGACACTGGAGCGACCCACTCGGTCCTAACTCAACCCCTGGGCCCGATCTCCTCCCACTCCATGAACATACTAGGGGCGAAAGGGGCCTCACAGCAACAACCTCTATTGGAACCCCTGCTGTGCACCACAGGCGGCCGGACTTTAACTCACAAGTTTGTCTACATTCCGAGCTGCCCCATCCCGCTATTGGGCCATGACCTACTTTGCAAGTTCGTGCACAAATATTCTTTGACGAAAAGGGATCAATGGGTCTGAAATACGGCAAGGTGCATCTAGAAATGCCGACCGAAGAGGCCTGGAGAATCATGGTGGTCAGGGAAGCCCCAGGAGGAAAATGGAGGGACTTCGGAGTTCCTAACTTCTAGACGGCTGGTGGGTTTTGCCAGACAAGTTGGTATTTGTTCCCCAGATGTTAGCCTGGGAGGCTGTTTCCTCCCTGCATAAGTCTCTGCACTTAGGTAAAACTGCATTGGAGAAAGCGCTGGCTCGGGAAGTCTATATTGACAATCTTGCGCGCCTGGCAGCTGCCGTTTGCACCAGGTGTTACATGTGTGCCGCTAATAACCCACGTCAGGGCCCGCTGCTCCCCTCTAGCCACCAACCCAGAGGGTCCTATCCCTTCGACTCCCTCATGATCGATTTTACTGACATGCTGAGGGCGGGCCAATACACAGCCATGCTTGTTATTGTCTGCACGTACACTGGGTGGCCCGAATGTGTTCCTACTAGAACAAAAAAGGCTTTTGAGGTCACCCATACTTTGCTGAACCTCATTATCCCTCGTTGTGGCTTGCCCTCTTGTATCTCCTCGGACAATGGGCCCGAGTTCATTCACAAGGCCACTCAAAAGATTGCTGAAATGTTGGGGATTACCTGGAAGCTGCACTGTGCCTTTCATCCCAGTTCAGGTGGTTGGGTGGAAAGGGTGAATCACACAACTAAGGATAAATTGGCCAAGATCTGTCAGGAAACCCACCTCAAATGGCCCAAGGCCCTCAGCATGGC